CTCCGGTTTTCTCCGAAATTTCAGCTAGATTGGTTCATTCTCCGCGGTTTCGCGGAATTTTCTCCATTTCTCCGAATTTTTCTAGATGTTGGTGAATAACCCCATTAATTTTTTTTTCGCATTTTCTAAATTTTCTTTTTCAATTTTTCAGCAATTTTCGGTTCTTTTGTGATGGGAAAATAGGATTTCTTTAATCCGAATTTCGAAAAACTCCGAAGATTCAATATATTGAACGATTTATTTGAAACTCGGAATTGTCTACATTCCGAACATCCATGGGAGAAAGGCAAAAACTAATTTGTTGTCAGATTATTTGCTATTTCTTCGCTAATTGGCTATCAACAACGTATGTGCTACTAACTTGCTGTGTCCGCAAAAATTGTGACAGAATGTTGAAAAGCACACACACACACACAAAAATTAAGATGAGAAGGGTTACTTTGATGCACAAAAAAAGATTGGAAGAAAAATTAATTATCTATCTTCATCACAGCGAAAGTTGACATTTCAAAACTCAAAAGAAGACGAGATTACACAATTACAACACTAAAAATCACATTCTTTGTGAACAAACATAAGGAACATTGATGGATGAGATGTGCTTTCAGAAAAAAATAGTTCTGTTAGTGACAGGATATCACAATTCTTAGTTCATTCGTGCCAAAGTGAAAACAGTGGAATGCTTGTTGATCAATAAAACTAGCTCTATAAGAAAAGTGAAAAATGAGCACGTTTTGAAGGTCAGAAAACGGACGAGTGTAATAATTTATCGAGGGCTAACACTTCTATATTTACTAGTTTACGAAATACTTCAGTTCCAGAAGTGGATCTCAATCCATTTAAAATTAGCGCAAAACAAAGAATTCTGACATTGGCGAGTCTCTGACAATCGCAACAGAGAATTGTTGGTGTGCGGAGGAATGAAATGACTTTTTTTATGTTTATAGGCTACGCCCAGGCGGTTCTCAGTTGTTTACACACAATCAGAAGAAATCAGGTGGCGTTGATTATTAGTATCGGAAAAAAAAGCATACGAAATGATTCACTAAAGACTTTTGAAATTCAGAATGCTTGAATTATAACTGAGTTTCGAGCTGTTTGTATAGATACACAGTGTATGAGTGTATCATACACTTTTCTCAGGCTTAAAAGTTTTCTAGGAAATTCAATGACCATAAAGGGTGAGAGCATTTTGTATTGAAAGAAAATATTTAGATGAATATAGAAAAAATATATGTTGACTGAAAAACCGTTTGTGAATGCAATAGCGGAGCATTTCTGCCCGTCCTGAACAACAATCCATTGAAAACGAGCCGTTTTCACTTTTCCTTTTCGCCTCATTCCCAAATAGGAATCGATTTCATATATGAGCAATAAATCACTCAACTAAAGACATGTTTTGCTCCTTGGAATAACGTCAGGAAAAATTCTTCCTAACGTAAAAATTTGAATTTTCGGCGCGAATGGCCATGAGGAAAGAATACGGAAAAGCGGGAGGGCACAGTATAAGGCAGAAAGGTCAGGAACATCTGCTGTCCAGATGGAAATGGAGACAAAGAAATAATGGGAAAGCAGAAGAAGCATCGAGAAAATGTTCGACATCATAATAGAAGGTCTTTGATTGAAAGAAAACGACAAATTGAGAATTTAAATTATTAGATTAGAAGAGATGTTCCTATTTAAATTCAATATCCAAGTATCTACGAATTTGATTACCTACTTTTTTAGAATAAATTTTTCAAAAATGACACTTTCTTGTTCGGTACTTCTTTGAAACCCTTAGTCAACTACAAGTCAACTTAGTTAGCTACAAGAAAAAGAGAGGCTATTTCGTTTCGTCCCCTCGTCGACCCTCAAAATGACCTTTATCGGTCATTCCACTTCTCTTTTTCTCTTAGTTTTACATACTCTTTGAGCACGACTCAAGGCATCATTCAGATGAGTAGGAAGGGGTGAAGGAGAAAGAAATGGATGTGGCATGGAATGACAAATTTGATTTGAAACTTAGAAAACGGCTTGGTGAACTCAAAAGAGAATCAATAGGAGTTTTACAGTAACTATATTTGCACTGTTGATTGAAAGTATTGGAAATACACGAGGAACAATAATCATGGTTCTCGTTTAACGAAAAGGAAATCCTAATTCCGACAATAGCTGTGCTTTGAAAATATTGTCACCTGAATGGGGAGAAAATGCTCAGTGAAATCGTTTCACGTCTAATTAGCTCTCATTAGAAAAACCACGGCTAATTAGGTGATTTGCACATCTAACTAGGAATGCCATATCTAAATAGATTGTAGTAGCAAAATTATAAAATAATCACATGTAATATGGATCTAGTTATTTTCGGTACGGCCAGTCGATATTTGCAAATCTAGATAGATTTTTTTTCTAATGCGCGAATGAGCGAACCTAATTAGAAACTAGCTAGATTCGGCTAGTTCAAATTTATTTACTTTTGTTTTCATCGTTTTTTCGTAGTTTGTCCGTATTTTTACAGTTTTTGAAATAAATTTTCTGGTCCTAAATTTCTCGGAAACGAGTCCATTGTTTATTGATATGGGTCCGCCCACAAAATGTATTTTTTCATGTTTAATGTCGTTATCTAAACCGAATTTAGAAATTTTGATGAAAATGAGATTGTAAGCTGATCTGGATTCCATTTCTACCAAAAACTTAAATTCGATCGCAGAAATCGCCAGTGCTGTTCGAAAATTCGGGAAAAGTTAATATCTTCTTTGACGAAAATTTGTTGAATATGATGGCATTCACACAGAGGATACAAACACCGGAGGTAATTGTTCTAGAAACGCCAAATGAATGTTACCTTTTCAAGTTCTTTATGGAGATCTTTGGAACGAGAAGAACTGAAGCGGACATACTTTCTATTGTTGGCCACTCAATCCAAAATGATATCAACAGTTATTTCAATCGCCACTCAAAAATGGAAGTGCTCCGAAATCACAAGCTGTGCCAATAACAGTATTTTGATAAGGTAACCAGCTAAATGTCCCACTCTTTAAATGGCACAATTAAAAAATTTCAGTTTCCAAATATTCAACGTCTACGATCGGAAAAATTCGACGAATATTTGGGATTCGGAGCTGTCTGGAGCGAAGATATCGACTTGTCATAGCGATATTTGGAAGGATCTCTATAATTCAAAACACTACCAGCAAAGACATGACGACCTCAAAATTCGAAATATAGGCGGAAGCGAAGATTTCTACAAATTTAACAGGATAATTTGATAATTCCTCATTTGTCATTCTTAAATCTTTTTCTTAGTCCCCTCATTTGTTGTATATTGCGTTTTTGTTCAATAAACCTTTTTATAATCCGAATTTTTTTAAAAAATCAATAAACTTTCAAAAAAAAGAAAATCTAATGAGGAAGCATCATAATCTAACTAGACGACATGCGAATCTACCTAGGCGATATGCGAATCTAGCTAGCCGGCTTGCCGATCTAAAGCGGTTGCTTTAGAACATAGAATTAGCTAGTTTAGATTTGGTTAACTTCTAATTAGACGTGAAATGATTTCACTGAGTGCTCAAGGTGCTCTTGCACAAAAAAAAATGAAATCGCCGAATCTACGTAGGATGAAAAGAAAATATGTCTTCCTCTAACACAAGAATGGCTAAAACGGGAAGAGTGCCCTGTGTCGTCTGAATACTCTCATTTTTCAATGATTTCTCAAACGGCGGCGAGCTCCTTTTTCGGTTGGTTGGGTGGTCAGAAAGAGAAAAGCGGTGGCATGAATCTGCGTCTCTTTGCGAACAACACTTTTACAAAAACGCTCATTTTTTTGCGGGTTCTCTGACCGAAAACGAATGAAGGGTTAAAAAAGGGGTTTGGAACAAAAATCGAAAAATTCTGAAGTTTTTTTTTGGAATTGTAGATTTTTCGACTACAGTATGTCAAAGGCGCACATGAAAAGTTTGTTGTTGGTCTCGAGTGGAAATACTGAAAAAATTTTTTGCGTCTTCGAAATCTTCTTCTCAATTTTGGACACTCCACTGATTCCG